GGGATGTATCAAGTCCTTTTTAGCAACTTCTCTTGCTTTTTAGAGACACTTTCTATTTGCGGTTTATTCATATTTCAAGTGTATTTTTGACATTAAGGACTAAGTATACTGTACTGACTCCACTCCATTCAATACAGACACTGACCCCCTACCATGTTGCAGGTGCTGGGAGAAGCACTGTGGATTCATCAATGAGCCATGAAGAATACTCCAATCATAATAGAACATACAGTCTCATGAGGTTACAAATATCTCATTTTCAAGTTCTAGAATCTGAATTTTAGAGCTGCAGGGCATTTCCAGATGGCCTATATAGTCTGATCCATTCATTAAACAGATGACGAAATGGAGAGGCCCAAAGTGAAGAAAGTCTCTCCCCCAGAGTCAGAAACTCTAATCGCAGTGGCATCTGGATCCTCTGCTCCCTGCCCACTCTTCTTTCCATTTTATTGCTTTGAAGCTTTTCGTATTATTCTGCACACACCAAGTCCTTCCGAGTCCTTTTTGTTGTTATTTATTACGTGCTCACGATTTCTTAGATGTCTGTGGTTGGATTTTGATGCTAACATTGATCTTCCAATTCTTTAACCTAATTTTTTTTCACTGCTTGCTTCTTCTCTTTACCTGACCACATACCTGGCAGATGTATCTGTCTTGAGTTAAGTAGGCAATCCGGGGTGCCATGGATCTTTTGAAGACTTGGGAAAGGAGAGCAGTCTGCAGTGACCCTCCTGAGACTTCCAAACAAAATCACTGGCCCCTCACTCCTTAAAAGATAGTTGGGCTTGTCCAAGGGCAAAGAGTGGCAGACACAGAGCTTGCTTTTCAGACACCCCTAGACTGGAAAACATCCTTTGGGGGTAAAAATGAGGACATAAAATCGCTCGCTGTGGTACCTTTCATTCTGTTAAGGACACTGAAAACACAGTCTGTCATCCTTGACATTTTAATTGAAAGAAAAGCTTACATAGATTTCAGCCGTAAGCAGTATGTTTATACAAGTGTATAAAGAGGAATAATCTGTCAAGTTGGAAAACTCTTAATGCTACGGGACTCAGTTTAGTAATTGAACAATCCAACATGAGCTCACACATCTTACCTTGTTCCATGCCTCAATAATTTTTAGTAGAAATACTTTACCTAGAGGCATATGGTTATTAAAAAGGAGGCTCGGCTTGCTCAAAGTCTGGAATTATTAGCTCATGGCAACAAGCCTGCACTGGAGAAAGACTGTTGGGTCTTTGTTTTCACAACTTTGCTGTAATTTGCCATCTTATTTTCAGAGTCTAACTGATGTGTTGTTTGGGAAGTTTTTGGTGTTTTTTTTAAAGGAAGAAAACATATTTCACATGGATGAGAGACTTCTCGTGTTAGCAGAACTGCAGAATTTTACTGCTTCATTGCCAAGTCCAGGGAGTAGTGTGGATATCAAAGGAAATAGACCGTGAATTTATTTTAGTATAAAAAATCAATAATAACTTAGTTATGGGAGCCATCAAGGTATGATGGGGGAAGCCCTGTGTTGCAAGTTGAATATGAGCCCCGCTTCTTTTCATGACCCAGATGACCTTGGGCACATTTAAATGTTTCTGAATTCAGCTTACTCTGAGTAAAATGGGGGTAATCTGACCTACCCAACACATGGCATTGTTTCAAGTCACATGAAGGTGAAATATTTTGAAAAATATGAAACTGTATAAGCGTAATATAAAAAGTTTCAAGCAAGTGCAGTGTGTTAATAATTATTTCTCTATACACAAAGGGAATTAGATAATTAATGTAATTATTCCGATACCACTCTTGCTTCAATGATCAGAATATTCTGGACAAATGATTATTTATTGGGCCAAGCTACATAATTACCTCAATCTAACCCTTTGTATACCCAGCGATGAGTAGGAGTAGATTTTTTTTCTTTCAGTTTTTGTAGTTTTAAAAGCCCGAACAAGAAGCATAGAAAATGCCTCAGTTTTGTTCCCAGCATGGGTTGGGAAAATTATTTATAGAAGCTGTATAGGGGCACCTGGGTGGCTCTGTCTGTTAAGTGTCCAACTCTTGATTTTGGCTCAGGTCATGATCTCAGGGTTCTTAGATCAAGCCCCGTGTCAGGCTCCACACTGGGTGTGGGGCCTGCTTAAGATTCTCTCTCCCTCTGCCCCTCCCTCCTGCATGTGCACATGCGTGCGTGTATGTGCGCGCACTCTCTCTCTCTCAAAGAAATAAATAAAATGTAGATTCTGTGTAAAACAATAATGCAAAGTTATTCAGAATCCAAACATGCAGAGTTCTCAAATAGCCATCTCTCTTTCAAGTATATATTGTTAATTGGTTTGATTGCTATCATTAGGCAATTATTATAATTCCAAGGGAACTCAGTACCCTGAAAAGCTTTCTTAATTAATGAAGGAATGCTTTATATTTAAAAATCCGGTACATCTATGCATGGTGTGGAAGTAACTGACCTAATAAGAACACTGATTAAATGAAGCATACCATTCCCTAGCTGCTCTATCCAGCTGGGAGTTTTCCCTAGTTGTATGAAGAATGAAAACTCATTTTAAATTTGATTACTTTTGTCTCTCCATTCACATAAGCATCGTTTAACTGATTTCTTTTCTAAAAACGACTCATCAGTAGAAACTGATCACCAAGATTATCATTAATATATCATGTTGGAAACAAAATGTAAATGATGATAATATGTTGCCCTTTCTTTATGAGGATGATATGGCCAATCATCATTATAAAATGTTTTCAGTTGTCTTTTTTCACTTGTCCCTATCTGTACCCAAGGCATTCCTCCTGGCGACTAGGTGAAAAGACATACGGTAGAAGGTTGTATGTACGTATGTTTACATGTATCTCTATGTATGCGTGGATGTGTGGATGTATGTGTGTGCATGTCTCTGTCTGGATATCTGTAGATGGGTGGATGGATAGATGATTAACAACTATCTGTAGTGATGGTCTCAGTGAATCTTTCTCCTTATAAAACAGGGCAGTTCAGATTACTAACTTGCACTTGGAGGAACTGACCATTATCAAAGATGACATACTTTGATATACAGCTATTTTCTTCCCAGCAAAGGTCACAAACAAAACATTAAGACTGGAGAATATAAAGCAAACCTTGTCTGTTGACAGAGCCACATTTATACCTGTCTGACTGGAGCTCTCCACCTCTGAAGGAGGTAGGCTTTAAGACCCAGTGAAGTACAACCTACTGTAGAATTTTGGAGCAGCGGGGAAACCAGCAGTTTCCTAGAACTGTAAAAGGTGAAGGACCTTCAGAGACCCTACTAATCCTATTGTTAATCTATACTCCAGAGGGCCCCAGGGCACAGGTCAAGAAATACCCATAACACGCATTTGCTTTTCTGAAAACACTTTTCATTGTTACAGGCTGCTTCTGTTGGCCTCTCCATGTAACTAGTCATACACACATTCTCCTCATAAAGCTGGATGTCATTTGTGTACATCTACATGGAGTCTGGGTAAAAGTTTTATATTCTTTTATATTTTCATTTATATAACTTCCTGAACATATAAATATTGACTGATTTATGATTAATCCTTATAAGATTCATGTGCCTGTGATAGTGAGCTCTGCCCAAAGGAGCTGTTAGACAAAAAGGGTAGAAAACCTAATCTTTGAGATTTCAACAACAATGCAAAAGAGCATGTTGGCATTGTTCTCCCTGTTTCTCCTCAAGTCAGTCACGGGAGACACACAAGCTCCAAAGAAGAGGCTTCTCATGCTACTCTGGATGGGACTGTCCTTCCCGAAGCATAGAAAGGCGTTGGACCACACAGGACATCTCTGTCTGCAATCATTACCCAGCACTTAGCATGAAGGAATCTCTCTTTTTTTTCTTTTTTAAAGAAAATGCATTAATTCTGGAAGCAGTAACTTCATTTATGGCATTCAGGATAAGGTAGTTTAACATGGAAGACTCAGAGGTCCCGGGGTGGGGGGGGATGTGTTTGTTTATTTATTTGTTTTGTTTTATTTGTTAAATCTTTAATTTAATGGTTTGACATTTATACAGCTCCCCAGAGCAAAAGCATCAGGAGATTGAGAATTTAGCTGAGGAGGTCACTTATTTGCCATTTTTCATAAACACAAATAATTTCCTTTTTCCCTCAACCACACATTCCCTGGCTCATTAAATCAATTTAAGTCCTAAAAAAATTTTTTTTTTCCTCTGGCAAATTGAAGCAAAAGCTCAGTGTACTCCCCGGAGGCATGCTTACCCAAGTTCTGCAGGTCAGGCCAAAATCAGTTTCTGTCAAACAGCCTAACACCTCCAGTTATTATAAAATGAGGGATTGGTAATTGGGGGCTGGGCTCTGGACTTGCCTGAGAAAGGCTGGCTGCAGTGGCATGAGCCTCATTCCTGCTGTTTTGGTCTGTGTCCTGGCTTTGTTTTTTTGTTTGTTTGTTTGTTTGTTTTTTCCACCCACAGTGGAGAACTATGAAAAAGTCAAAACAGATTTCTACTGGGAATTGATGAATAAAGTTGGCTTTACGAATCCAGACGGTGAACGTGTATCCAGAATAAAGCCAGGAGGGCTTCCAGGCAGAGGCATAGGAGAGTGCGGATAAAACAAACGTACACAGATCTCTGGGTCTAAGACCCTCCACAAGGCAGAGAATTCTGAGAAAACACAGGATTTCACCCCCGAGTCCCTTCCCTAAGATGCAGGGGTCATAGGAGATTTACCGGCTTGTTGACTATTGAACATGAGTTAGATAACAGAGGTCAGGAAATGAAGTGGAATTTGATATATTAACTAGGAAGCAGCAGAGGAAGCCAGGCTTGTGTTTGATTTGTTATTATTTCCCTAATATCCTCAATTATGTGATTCCCATCAGAGGATCTGATCTGTTGCTCCTGTAACGGTGTTGTCCCCGCTGGTTCCGGACGTGGGGAAGCAGGCAGTGAACCCCCTGCCCCCAGGCATCAGGAATAATGTTTGCTTTCTCTCTGTGTTGCCAGGCCTGTCCCAGGCTCTCTATCTTCTCTGCTACATCTCCACAACAGACAGAGACAGCCCATGCCAGCCTCCATGCCTGGGACCCTGCCCAACCCAACGATGCCAGGATCTTCTGCCGTCTTGATGCCAGTAAGTGCTTCTCACTTCCACTGAGCCTTGCTCTTTTGAAAACAGTAGAAGAAAAGCTGAGATCTAAGCTGGAAAGAAAGCGCCTTCTTCTGGATGAAAAGCTGAGCTGTGTGCTACTTTGCAGAGAGCGCTCGGTTGTCTGTCCCTCGGTGTCTGGCTGGCTTTCCTGGCCTTCAGTGCTCCCTTAGTGAGGCCTGACCCCATCTTCTTGCTGGTGACAAGTGAGCTTGCCACACCCAGGGAATGGAATTTGTTCAAGGACAGTGTTTTACGACTAGCCCAAAGTCTGTATTAGCGTGGGCTATATACCGAGTGTCCTTAACTCACCAGGGAGTGGTCTTGCCAGGACTCAGAGTGACAAATATAATAACAAAAATAATAATGATGGTACAGAATAGCTGCTAATATGTGTCCCTGCATATCATAGTCTGTTAATCCTGCTCACAACATTTATTGATAGTCCCTCTATAAGCACTTCCTCAACATGTGAAACAATCCCGTCAGGCACATGCTATTTCTACCCCCTGGTTTGAATGGGAGAAGTGTGGCAAGTAGCTTGCTTGGCTGAGAAGCAGCATAGCTGAGTTCTGAACCCAGGAATTCTGGCTCCAGAGCCCACTCGGTCAACCACTGTCTGATACCACTATATTCTCTGCTTTCACTGTCACAACAAACCTGTGAGGGATACACTGTTTTTACCCCCATTTTACAGACGAGGAAGCTGAGGCACAGGAGGCCGAGTAACTTAGCTAAGGTCGCAGTTAGTAGGTGATGGAGCGTAAGGATTTAAATTCAGGTGGCATGACTCAAGAGTCTACATTCTAATCATTATGTAATACAACCCCCCCGCTCTGAAAACAACACATTAGCCTAGAAGGGACAGACAGAGTATTCCAGAGCAAACCTTGCTCTTCTTCCACAGGATCCGCTCCCTGTGCTTCTTCATCCTCCCTGGCCTGTGCTTTGGGGAGCCTGGCTCGTGACCTTATTCTTGGGGCCACAGTTGTTCTCAGAAGTCCTAAGAGATGGTGTGACAATTCAGTGAAAATCCTCCCAGAACAGTATCAACAATGCCTGGCAGAGCGTTTTTGCTTCTTAAGGAATTGTCTACATTTGTCACTTCATGTCGCTGTCATCGGGATCCTGTGGGAATGGGATCCCGGTAATTATTGACACGCTTATTTTACAGATGAAAAGCTGAAGAATAAGAAGTTGAAGGCAGCTGTCTAACGCCCCACAGCTGTGACAAACCCCACCTCAACTCACATTGAGCAGCTCAGATTCTCGAAGTATGAGCAGTTTGCCGATTTATCTGAGTGGAGGCAGGGGTGGATGAGGGCTGGGAGGCCCAAGTTCAGAGAAATGGACCCGCCTACTATAAATAGTGGGTTGTCCTGGCTGGAAACAGTCTTTGCAAAATTGGGCCAGAAGGAACAGATGAGTTGACACACTTTCCCTGCCTTGCTCACCTTAAACATCTTCAGATGAGCTATGACAGTGCCACCAATGCCCCTTGCCCAGGTTTTATTCAACCCAGCCAGGCGCACGAAGACTCCCACCATAAGCTGTGTTCCTTAAGACGCTAAATCCCTCTGGTCCAAAATTAGTGTCCTTTCATAAATTCTATCCATTAGCCAGAAAAATACCACTTCAGTGCCTTTTTTTTTTTTTCCATCTGATTGTACCATTTCCAGGGACAAAGATGGGACACGGGCTGAGACGGCCCAGTGAAAAAGTATCTGGTGCTGGTTTCCACCATCTCATCTCATTGTACAACTTGGCCTCCTGTTGATGCTTCAGAATAGAAGTAAAGGATCAGGTACATGATCAATGGCCAGTGTAGACAGAAAGTCAGGGATGCCACCCCTACAGGAGTTCCCCAACCCATGTCACTGATATGCACAGCTGCCGTGCCAAGTGTCAGTCTAAGAGCACTGATTCCAACTCGGGGCGATTGTTTGGCACTATCTGAAGATACTGTTGTTGGTTGTCACAGCTGAGGGAAGGCTGCTACTGGCCTCTGCGGGCAGAGGCCAAGGAAGCTGTTCAACATTCTATAATGCGCAGGATAGCCCCCACCAGAAACTAATTATTTGGGCCCTAGATGTCAACAGTGCTGAGGTTGAGAAACCTTGGTTTAAAGTGACACGAATGTAACTCATGAAAACTATCATAAAATCTCTAAAAAAAAAAAAAAAAAAAAAAAGATACCCTAAGAGTTCCTGGTCCCAGAAATCTAGGCCTTTTCGTCCATGTTATCAAGTCCCCAGCTCCTATGCTCAGATTCTGGCATTTTAAGCATAGTCTTCCCATAGAATTCCCACCCTGGGGAACCATGATTCCCTTGGTATAAAAGATCAGTCTGTCTGTAGGTGGAGGTAATATTCTTAACTGATTTGCAGTGCATGCTGCCAGGCCACCCATTTCACACGGTCCTAGGTCTGAAGCGAAATGATATATTTGTTCATTCCACAAGCTTTGGTTGGGCACCTGCTCTGAGCCAAGCACTGCGCTGGATGTTGGGGGTGTGGAGAACAACAAGGAAGGATTTCATGGTGGTGTGATTTCCTATCTTGAAAGTCAAATGTTCACAAAATTTGGGAATATGAACACTCATTTATAATTACAAAAAAGTGAGCTGTAGAGATTTTAACTCCCATTTTCTGATTTGTTTCAGAAGGAAAGGAGAAGCTCAAAAAAAGGTGAAATCCTTTACCTGGATGTTTTACCTGCAGTGCTAAATGTTGCTTAGTATTTGGCAAAACCACTTCAATCATCTGACTTCTTAATTCTAGGCACCTCACCAAAGACACTCGGGCAGAACCTTATTAGTATAAGCACCAAATCGTTGCCTTGCTGAGGCGCTTGCTGACCCCTTACAATCACTAAGATGGAAAAATGCAATTTTTTTAAAGTAGAGAAATCAGCCTGTTTTCAACATTCTGTTGAATTTGTGAGTCACGGAGTAGGAGTAGTCACAGACTGTAACTTTTCCACAGAGTGGGCAGCATGGCTGATTCTGGATCCCGAGGCTGCAAGTAAGCTGCTCGCCCTTCTCTGTAGCTCGTGATGGATAGCAGCGTGGAAACTTCCAGATAATCATTTGTACTTCTCAGTGACCTCCCTTCAGGAAACTGAAAGCAAAAGCACATTTGGACTTAATTTCCCTCTAGGAGAAGGTTACCAGTTGGAATAAAGGGCCAAATGCCTTTCCAACCCTTCCATCTCCCAGCCTCTGGAAGGGGGAATTACAAGCAATAAGCATTTTGTGGCGCAATCTTCATGACTTAAAAATTAGAGTACATGGACGTACTTAATAGCACTGAACTGTACATGGAAACCTAGTTACAGTGGGAAATTTTATGACACACATATTATACCAGAATTACAAAACAATAATAAAAAACAAAATACCTAGGCTACCTGGAGACTCAGGGGGTATATGGGAGTGAACATTTTATTTTCCTGAATTGATAAGGCCCCAAAAGTCGTTGCCAGCAGGCTCTAGACTGTATAGAAGATTCTTCATCAAATGGCTCCTTTTGAAGCAGTTTCACACAAACATGTACTCTTTTAGGCTAAGGGACGGCCGAGGGTGCTTTGCTATGACAGGGACTGTCCACCCGTCACTCGTGTCATTTTGTGAGCACCTCTGCTAACCCACACATTAATGTCATAATTGCAGTCCCGCGCCTGGGGTGGACCCAGCAGGGGTGCAGGGATGGAACCCGACCATGGCAGGGACCCTAAAGGGACATTTACCTCGGCTTTCCCTCTCCATTCCCGCCAGTGAGGTTTCTGTCCTCCGCTCTGGGAAGAGCTCCAGTGATAAAGAACTCTGTATTTTTTTCCTCAGACTCCCCAGGCTAACTTTGAGCAGAAAGCAGATTCCCTCAAGTTTCTGATCCATTTTCATTTCCATCCTTCAGCAAGGGGATCAACTTTTGCATTGGAGAATTTATTTTTTCCTCTTGACGAAAGTCTTCTGTGTGATTTAGTATTAAGTGTACTTGCTTTATTCTAGTTCTTTGGAACATGCTAAATTTCTACTCAACGGAAAGTATCAATCACACATACCCTTCCTTGATCGAAAGAGAGGTTTTACTGTATTTCCTTTTTAACAGGGACACCCTGGAGACAAAAATGCCAGAACTCATGCAGGTATTTGAAATGATGTTAATTCTAGACACAGTGGCAGGCCAGCAGGACAGTATCCATCAGGTGTGGTACAGTACGCTCACCTGCTTTCTTCACCACCCCCCCCCCCAAAGGTCTAGCCCTCTGCCGTGAGGCCAAAACCGGCTGCTGTGTAGCGTCCTGACTAGGTTAACTGGGAAGGGGAGATCTACCAGGGGCGGCAGCTCAAATACCTCTTGGTCATCTTTTTTTTTTTTTAAGATTTTATTTATTTATTTGACAGAGAGACACAGCGAGGGAGGGAACACAAGCAGGGGGAGTGGGAGAGGGAGAAGCAGGCCTCCCACTGAGCAGGGAGCCCGATGCGGGGCTCGATCCCAGGACCCTGGGATCATGACCTGAGCCGAAGGCAGACGCTTAACGATTGAGCCACCCAGGCGCCCGGCTCTTGTTCATCTTGACTGTGTTTATAAGTTACAGTGGCAAGAAGACCCAGCATATTCGAGAGCATTACTTTTTTAAGTTAATTTAATGTTTTCCTCATTGCTAAAATGATTCATGTTTTTGTACAAAACTTAGGGGGAAAAAAAGCCATGGATAACCTGAAATAACCATTTGGTATATATCCTTCCAGCACTTTTCTAGGCATACATTATTCTTTACAGTTATAAAAAGAAGCATGACTCGTGGCAGTTGGAGTGTTTGCAAAAGTGGAAATATTCCATACTTTTGTTTGCAAATGTACCATGACAACGTGGCTCTCATTGGCATAGGGCATCTCCTATAGCATGCACGGCTTTGGATTAATTCTTTGATGTCCTGGAGTTCAAGGCTCAGAGTGGGTTACTTACCACTTCCCCAAACCACAGTCTTTCTCCAGAGTTATTCAAAGAAATTCTAAATGACCCACTTGAAAGAGAAATGCAGCTTTGTCTGTGACCTAGACTGCTTTTCGTAGACTTCTGATTCTGTTGCTTTCCTTTCTCTTAGATGGAGAGACAGATGTCCGTGAACTCCAGCCTCCTGGGAATGCAAGGTCCAAATCTCAGCAACCCCTGCGCTTCTCCCCAGGTCCAGCCAATGCATTCAGAAGCCAAAATGGTAAATAACAATTATAATCATCCTTTTGTTATTTTGTGACTCTTTCTTTTGATGTCTACTCTGACTTCCAAATTTCAGTTGAGTCAGGTAGACGGCTCGGTCGTTGTTTTGGTGAAGAGGTCTTTTCTGTGGAAAGGCAGTCCAGAACTTGGCTCTCTCTTTGAGGATATTTGTTATTGAACCTTGGCATCAGATGACCATGAAATAAGCATTGGATCAGCTTCAGTGGAAGGGACATTTAGGAGTTTGGGGAGATCCATAGGCGTTCAGATGGGATACACCCAAGTAGGTGTACATTTTCTCATAATGTGAAATTAACAAAGACAATCCAGAGTTTCTCTTCTTCAAGGTGGTCACAGTTTCAGTGTCACTTGTCCTGTCTCCATGTCTGTGAAGACAGACGTGTGATTTTTTTAAGCACACACTAGCACGGAAATATTTTTCATTTTTTGTTATAGTTGTCAGATGTGACACTAATTCAAAGGATCACAGCCTTGTTTTCATGCAGGGTAATTGCACCTCTTACTGAAATACGTGATTGCAGGTGACAACCTTCAGTGACTTTTAACCTTTGAGATTTATGTGCCGTCAGTTCAGTCTTTCCCATCACAGTGAAAGATTTATGCATTATATCCTATTAAATATTAATAAAAGCAATGCATGTCCATCTTTGCTTATTGCATTTAGTAGAGTTACTTGAGGTGGGTCGTTGGGTTTTCATGTATTTAAATTCTGGCACCACAGTTAGTAAGGTATCAGACGGCAACAAAATACACTGTAGCGTGGTCTGATATTGGCTCGGGGTAGCTTTGCTGCAATTTGGGAATTTATTTGGTTTCCTGACTGACAGCGTTGGGGACTGTGTCTGGTGGCTGGTATGAGGATGTTTTTGATGCTTCTGAAAGTCAGCCACCAAAACCAGTTGACTTCATCTTCAATGGCAGCAAGTTTTTTTGACGCCTGCTTTGGTCACTTTCTCTTGGAAATGTTCCTCATTTGTCTTTCAGCTCCTTGACTCAAGGAAGCGCCTGAGTCCCCGGTGCTGGCTGCCTTGGGCAAATAAAACCTGTGGTTAAGAGAGCTCCCTTTGCCGTGCCACAGTCCCCGCGACAGGCCAGATGGCACCGGCATCTTTAGCAAAGCTCGTTAAATCTTCTTGGAATCGGCAAATATTTTTTCAACTCAAGCCCTGCAGAGCCAAACCAAATACTTGCTGGCAGAGTGAAGTTCAAATTGGCATCTGTTTTGGAGACCAGAGTAATGCCATTTACTTTTTTTTTTTTTTTAAGGAAAATAAAAAATTAACTGTGAAGGTACTTAAGAAAAAAACAAAATTAAGTTATTCGTGTGTATGAATAAGTGTTCTGGGTCTGAGCATCAGATGCTACTCCCCCAGCTGGATTATTGCTGAATCATCTTGTTTGGTGTGGGGTCTGTATCCCTTTTGAGGGACCTCCCAGACAAACTTTAGGTGGATTCTTACACACAGTTCCAAACCAGAGTTCCCTGCCAGTTGATTTTCATGGGATTATATGCCACCACTTGACTCAGAAATGTCCTACCTCCCCTCTTCTTACTGGCAAAGAAGGAGAACGCTTCCAAAGGAAGTACGTGTTTATAATTATTTATATGTATGAAATTTCGAAAAACATATGATATGGCCAACTATTGTGAATAATATCAACTGGAGGCAAAAGGAAATTGGTCTGTACCTATAAAATAATGTGACCCCACAAATGTTTGTCAAGTTAAATTTACTGAGCAAGCACACGACTCTGCTGATTCATGCTCTGGGTGGATGGATGAATATTTCCAGATCCATGATGTCTGAGCTAATGAACTCTAACTTGGAGTTAGGGCTTAGGGAGCATAGTTATTCTCTCTGTCCCAGGCTCCCACCCCTGACACCATTATTGCCAATCCGTTATTCCAAGGGAGAAAATGGAGGTATTGGCCACTTACATTTTGGAGAAATAGCATTTACTTAGTCGCCTGGAAAAGTGTTTAGTAATTGGCTTTTAATACATTACTCAGCATTTCTATTCTCATTCCGTTTGCTTTATTCACTGGAGAAATCAGTTATTGCCATCTACTAACTGTACAGTATTTTCTAGCAGCTTTGGACTGCTCAGATGAAAAGCTTTTACAAAATACAAAGTGATGGAGAAAAAAAATCTTCCATGATTTTAATGTCAGCCAGAGCCTCCCCAGGTTTCTCTGAACTATGGGCTTTGTTGTTCTATGCCTAATTTTCTTCCTGTGTAAGACTGGAATGGATTCCAGATTTCAACTAAGACTCCTGTTTCACTGTTTTCAAGGACTTTCCCAAAGGTCACACATGGGCTATTGTGATGAATGCACTCTGTGGGGTGTGTTCTCAGAGCACACGAGAAACCAGAGAGCTGCCAGGGAGGGTGTCGCCCACACCACAGCACTGCAGACCTATTCTCCTGGGGACATTGGTGTCAGAGTGTCTATTTCACACTCTCTATTGACCACTGACAAAAGCCATCATCCTGCATCTCTGGTGGAACTTGGAGGTCTTGGAGGTGGACAAAAGCTTAAGCCAGGATTGCTTTAACTGTACAGCTTTGTTAGAAGCTGTTCGACTAGTGATCGCTCAGTAGGATGCATCCATCTTTCTTGCCACAAATTGGTCATTTCTGTTGTGGAAGAGAGCAAAATAGCTGTCCCCGATAAGCTGTACAGTGTATTAATCCGGGATATCCAAATCAAGTAGCACAGTGCTCTTCTTTTGATTTAACGTATATGGACATCAAGCAGTGGACTTCAGTGTACCGAAGGCACATCTGTCTGAGCCGGTTCTGTCATAATTCTGGCAGATTATAATTGAGTTTTATGGATTCTTTTTCTGAAGAATTAAGCCGACAAACATATGGCTTCATGATTATACAAGTGAATATATGCATATTGGATTTTGTTTTGGAGGTCAAAGCAGACTCAGAGCTGTGAGAGATTTCCATCCTTCTAACCACGCAAAACAATGGGTTCTTCCTCCCAGATTTCTGGGATTGGGGGCATCTTCCATGAAAATGGGGTCTGCTAGAAAGGAAGTTCACTGGATACTGATGGACATTTTTCACATGCAAAGGGGAAAGGGAGAAAATGAGGGGGATAAGCAGACAAAAATGGAAAAGGGGAGGAAGAAGGAGACATATAGGGTAAGGGAATTTAATACAGACTGTGACACATTTCTAGCCTCTTGTGGGCATGAGCAGTTCTGTAGTGGTGTGGATATGGTATCTTCAGAGTTACATAGATTTGTGTTCATTTCTATCTAGCTTTAAAAGAGGTTTTCCTTTTTCTTTCTTTTTTTTTTTTTTTTCAGGCCAGTAATAGGGTTGGAAGCTAAATGGGGCGGTGGGGAGGGGGGGGGACTTGTCCGTACACCTGTCTTGTGTCTCAGTAATGTTGAGATGATTATCATACTGAAACCAACTAAAATGAAGGATGGCATATGAACAACTTTCCAGAGAGGGCTGGGGCGGCTCTGCCCAGGATTCACCTTCAGTTTGGACAGAGTTAGGGAAGCAAAGAGAGTGTTGATACTAAGAAGAAGGTACATGCACCTGAGACCTGATTTTGCCTTCAGGACAGCGCCGTGACAGGGCTGTTATCCCCATTTTATAGTTGAGACAACTGAAGCTCCCAGAGGTTAAAAAACTGGCCCAACGATGCATCACATAGCAAAGGCTAACATCTCAAGACTCCACCGACAAATCTTTTTCATCACAATATTGATCCTTTAGATAAAAATATCATACAGATTCCAGATAACAGCAACCAGCAGATTATATCAAATTTTTCAGGGTTTGTTTATATTTACAAAAAAATGGGAGCTAAGGATGGCAAGGACCTCCCATTTAGGGGTTTAGACCTCCAGATAACCTGGAAAAGATGAGGGGTGGTTGCTAGTACCAAATGTCCCCCTTGATTTAACCAGAGCTCTGTGGCCTCCCTGACTGAGCTTCACTGCCTCTCTCTCCAAACACATTTTTATCTTGATGTTTCTTATTTTACATGTGTGTCTCCGCACCCCCCCCCACTCGATTGATTGGGAGCTCCTTGAAGATAATCCTTGCATCATGGAAGTTCCTTGTACTAAGAAAGGCCCCATGAATGAGAGCTGAATTTAATTAGTTGAGTTGAGTTGAATTAAAATAAGGAGAAGGAACCAAACAGTAGCAGTGGAAGTGGGGGTGGGATGGAGTGAGTAAGGGGCAAGGGTGGGGCTCAGAAGGAGAGGATTAAACGAGATAAATGCTAAGCTAAGTAATCAACTAAGAAAGAGTATTTGACTACATTTGATTTCTTCGAAGGATACCTGGAAACAATATCTGGCATGTTTTGTTTTGTTTTCTTCCTTGAGAGAAAAGCAATGTATCTCTTACTTAGAAAATAGAAGTTGGAATAACATTGACCTCCTAGGAATTGAGAAGGATCAATACTAGATGCTGTTTCTTCCACTGTGATAGGCTAACTGTGCTGTATTTCACTTGTTGACTTGTCAATACCTCATTTATAGTTAGGTTTACAGTTTATTGAATAGGTATATAAATATGTGCATTAATGAGTGAAACAAAAAAATTGGAAAGTCAAAGGCTTTTAGAGGTAGAAGGTACTTAGTGAAGACCTTGCCCAGATTCCTCATTTCACAAGTGAGGACACCAGAGGCAACTAAACGCTTGGGGAAATCAAGCCATCATTTCAACACAAAGCTGGGCCCGCAGTTCAGACCGTCACGTTTCTACCCAGCATGATGCTTTTTTCATCGGCTGTACTGATAAATTACTAACAGTGCTTCTTTCCTTGGCCCCTGGTTTTCTGCTGGCCGATGGGTAGACAAGAACTGGGATGGTCTAGTGCGCAACCCGTGGTTAAATCTCCACTTTGTTTTCAATGTCAACCTGGGTGTGTTTGTGTTTGCCTTTCCCCTCCCTAATTATCGAGCTGGATAACTGTTTGCCTACAGTGCCCCT